TGTATTGTGTCTGGTATATGTGTGTGTGAGTGTATTATGCATATGAGTGTGTGCACATAGTATGCACATGTATATGTATGTGTGTGTGTGGTTTGTGTGTATATTGTATATGTGAGTATATGTATGTGGTATGTACATGTATGTGGTTGTGCATGTGTGTATTGTGTGTGTGTGAGTGTGTGTGGTTTGTGTGAATGTGTATTGTATATGTGAGTATGTATGTATGTATGTGGCACGTACATGTATATTTATGTGTTATTTGTATGGTTTGTGTGTGTGTGTGTATGTTGTGCTTTGTGTGTGTAAATGTGGTATGTGTGTATATGTGTGTGTGATATGTGTGTGTATATGTGTGTAAATGGAAAATAATGCATGAAGGTTCTGCTGGTGGGAGGAAGTTGATTGTGTTCAAGCTGGCTCTCAAACCTATCTGAAAGTGTGTGGTCTTAAAATAGAAGGGCACGGTCAAGCTGGGCGTGGCCACTCTTTATAGTACTCTTCTCTGTTGTAGTGTTGTTTCATTCTTTAAGCCCTTGACAAGGTCTTACGGACACCAATCTCTGGACCATGAAGGCAGTATATAAATTGGAGTAACAACAAGAAAAGAGCTGCATCTCAGACAGGGCAGAGCCATCCGCTGTTGGGGCAGTGTGCCCATTTGTGTCTGATATGTCTGGGATCTTGTATCCCTAAAGAAACCAGTGGCATATATTTATATTTGGAATAAATATATTTGCATAACTTTTTAATCAGTGCTGGCAACTAATTCTTTAAAACTTATAAGCATGTAGGCCCAAATGAATCAGACGGTCATATAGACGGTCTGGAAGCCAATCTAAGATGACAGGTCCAGATGCTATCTGTGGCATTTGTATCTACTCATTACATGTTAGTTCTCGAAGCATCAACTGATCACATTACTCAGAGTGGCTGTCATTGGTCAAAAGAACAGAAATCTGAAAATTAAAAGTTTAAGTTCCTGCATTACGTAGGAGCAGGTTACAACTTGTGCCAGATGTTCTGAAAAATTGCAATGGTGGCAAGTAGCCACAATGAAATCTGGGAGTCTCTCAGCAATACATTTTCTTGGATATAGACCATACTCACTGTATTTGAACTCTGCATTTGTAGTCTGCATTTCAGCAAGCCTTCTAGGCTGTTCTGATATTTACTGAAGTTGGAGAGCTGGGTCTGGAAAGGGAAGGAAGTGAAACACCAGCAATCATTTATGGGATTCACAGGGAAATGCAAAGCCATACTTCAGTTTGTAAGATGAGAAGGGGTCAGTATGGGGAAGACCAGGAGGGAGGTTTCCACGAGAGCATGTGAAAGATGTGAGGCTGAAAGATGTTTCAGGAACTGTGATCACTGTAGTTTGGAAACCTACTGCAAAGGCCAATGTGCCTAAGGCTTTCTGCTAAAGGTGGCACTCCTGGGGAGGGTGAGACTTTAAGGTGGACCCTATTGGCCAGCCCGTGGTCTTTGGAGGCATGCTCTTGAAGGTACTGTAGTTTCCCAACCCTTCCACATCTCCTTTGCTTCTTGGTAATGAGGTGACTTAGTTGTGCTTTGCTAAGACCTCCTACCAATACCATCTGGCACTACAGGCCTAAAAGCAATGGGTACACTGGGTTCCACTATTTTCTGGAATCTGAAGAATGAATAAAACATATCTTTACTTTGTAAATGAATTACCTCAGACAGTTCTTATAGAAAGTTGACTAACACTGTAGTGGAAGATTAAGTTAGTGCCAGGGCTTTGATTCCTGGCCACTTGAGTTGGCTCAGATATTGTAGGCTATCACTGGAAACCATTCAGTAGGGGAGCATAGTGCCTGCCTACACTTCATGGAGAACAGTCATTCTGGGCTATTGTGTTACTTCTGTGTAGATACTACTCTCCTGGTACTTCAATGGCCTAGATTTTGATGTCTGCCTCTCCTGGTTTAACTTGGATCTGGGTCAGCAATTCCCATTGTTGTCTATGGTAGCTGGGAGGGGAGTCCCAAGACTTGGTCTGAATTAGTAACCCGGGGAGAATGTGCCTTCCCAAGGCTAGCAGTCAGGTGGGGATGCTCATTCTCACAGCCTTTGCTGGGGGCTTTGTAATCCTGCTCTAAATGTAACCCATCAGCTTTTGCATTAAAGGATTTAAAACACAACACAAACAAAACACTGTTCCATTCTTCTCAGAGGTACACAGTGTCTAAAGAGGAAACAGGTTAAACTCAAGACCTGGAGAAGCACATAACTAGCCAGCTTCTCCTCTCTTCTCCCTCTAGCTCCTCTTCTTTTTGATATAACGTGATTTTTCTTCTAGAAAGTCCTAGAGAATTGGCTAAGTTTCTCACGTGCTCACAAAGCCAGTGCTCTTCAGGTCTAACTCCAATCAGGTTCATGTAAGTGGCTGCAGTGTGATGAGGAGTCCTCCAGTGGTTAGACAACTGCACCACCCTGCCTCAGGCCCGCTTTGCCTGGAGGAAGGAATGGAGTAATGTTCAGTAGTGGGTTTACCAGAAGCCTTAGAAGACAAAAGAAATATAGAGTGCTAATAGAGCCCCAGGGCCATTTCTGAGGTGAGAATCTTTTTCCTTTAAAGTGTTCTTGGTATGGATGCAGTGATTCAACTTCTAGTGTTGAAATGCTGTGATATGTGTGCAATAGCAGCGTCCCCTGCTGGTCATTTTGTATAATGATGCAAAGGTGGATAATTCCGTAGGATGATTCTAAAGCTAGAAACACAGACTGAGGCTGAATGTACAAAATACTATCAACTTTAAATGGTTTGCCTTTGTAAACCTAGAGAGAGCTGTGAGTCCTTTTATCATCTGCAAGACAATGCCTGAGTTCAGGAGGCTGATATTCTCATGTCCTGCTATGTCAGTTTCATTTGCAGCAATGATTACATTAGCAATCGCTTCTATCCTGCCTGCTGTTGGTCTTCTTTTCTCTCCTAATCTAAAATGAACAGGATTTGATTGTTGGTTTGTCTGTGTGTCGTTTGAACAGATCACAAATAGTTATGTCTGTTTTTTTCATGGATATACAAGACAACACTTATCAATCTTAAATGGGAATAAAAAGGGATATTTAAATTTGCCAAGGGCTGGAAGATGGTGCAGTGTGTAAAAGTACCTGCAGGGCCACCAAGTGTGAGGACCTGCGATCAAATCACCAGAACTTATAAAAGCTAGATGCCTAGCAGGAGCCTCCAAAATCCGAGTGAATCTATGAGTAGATGGACAATAGACACAGGAGAATCCAAGGAGCTCAGGGGCCAGCTATCTTGGCATACACAGCAGGAAAACAACAGAGACCCTCTCTCAAGGAGGAAGAGAAGAAATACTGCCTGAGGTTGTCCTCTGACCTCTACATGTGCTGTGGCATGTGTGCAGCTGCATTCGCGCACACACACACACACATACACACACACACACGCATAGAGACAAATGCTCCCATGTATACATACTTACACACACTTAACGCATGCGTACACACATTTGCACGCACTGTAACTCACACGCAACCAAAAGATAAAAAGGCAAATGAAACTTGTGTGTCTACAGGATGCTAGGTCCCTCAGTTTGGTCTGAAGTGATAGCAATATAAATTGCAATCTTAGTGACTGTAGCTCCACGGATTTGATGATAAACTATGGAGAGGAGGTAGAGGAAGTAAAATCACCCTTCCAGCTTTCTTCCTGGGTTTTCTAGAGAAGTTTCCCCAACAGCGTCCCCAAGCCTCTCTTCGTGGACTCTCTTTGTTACCATCTGATTTAAGGGCAGTTTTAACAAAGCCCAACGTTGTCACCATCTTCTGACATGTTCACCTCGGGTCTGCCCACCTGGGTCTGAGAACACGCTCTGTTTTAGCAGCTTGGTGTGGATTCAGACGATGTGGACATCCTTTTAAAGGAATCTTGGGGTACAAAGATGGCCAAATTCCCTGGGAATCGGTTAGATGTAATTAGGTTAACCTCTCTAAACCTGCTAGGTTGAGGCTGTTCTAGTTCTGGCCAGTTTTATTCAGATATTTAAATGAAGGTGACCAAGGCATCAGTCTCATTTAAGTGTTGGTGATAAAAGCCTTGGAGTCTGTTTTGTTTCATTTAACAACTGAGGATGAAACCGACCCTGAAGTATGATGGATGTACGCAGTATTCTTCCTTATATAAAACTGATTCTTCCTTCCCTGACAGGTACCACTTGCAAATAGCTTCTCGGTTAGGGGAGGGACTTTGTGTCCACTTTCACTCCTCTGGGCTGGGGTTTTGTCTGTCTGGAATTTGTCTTATGCATGTTGTCCCAGTCTCTGTGTGATCATATGTTCAGTGGTGCTGTTGTGTCTGGAAGATGCTGTTTCCTTGGAGTCATCCACCCAGCTCTTCCAATCCATTTGCAGCTGAGTGCTCCAAGGTCTCTCACCGTCTGCACATTGTCCTGTTGTGGATGTCTTTGTTAGTGACCATCTACTGCAAGAACAAGCTTCTCTGATGAGGGCTGAGTGGTGCACTGACCTACGGTTATAACATATGTCATTAGGAGTCATTTGATGGCTGTGTTCGTTTAGCTGAGTAACACTAGTACGTTTTCCCATAGGGTTCATCTAGCCTCCAGTTTTTGGCTTCATTAGTAGTGTCAGGTGTGGATTATATCTCATGGCGTGGGCTTTTAGAGTGGTTGGTTGTTCCTGTAACATTTATACCCCTATTGTGTCAGTTTATCTCTCAGGCAGGTTGCTGTGGTAGGTTTCAGGGTTTGTAGCTGGGTGATATTACAGAGTACCTTTTTCTTCCAGTAGTGTACAGAGCGTTGTCAAGCACCATGAATAATAGTCAGTAAGAGAATAGCTTCTAGTTGGGCACCAGCTAGATTTCTCTAGCTGTGGAGGGTAATCAATAAATCGCATTGACAGTAGGCCTGTGAATCTCTTGGGTGAGATGTTTATGGGTTCCCTTTGCTGTGCCTTGTTCTTAACTGTGTCCTCTGTTTTTCCCCCAGTTGCAAATGAAGCAGGAGACAAGAATGCCAGACCACTTGCCCGCTTCTCCCGTAAGTCAACCTTGCTTCACTCTTCCTGGGCTCCAGTAGAACACGTTCACCAGAGGCCTTTGCTCATGTGCTTCACCTCTATGACTCCGTTAGGTGTTATTAAAACAGTAATTTAGAATATGTCTCTTGCTAGTTAACATTAGACTTCAGCTCCATCCATGGGGTTTTTAGTCTGGAGACCTCTGGTCTCTAAGTTGAACTCTAGGGCTTTGTTCTTTGCAGCCTGATTTCCAGAGCAGTAGACAAGTCTCAGCCTTGCTTTTGAGAGATATAGAGCCTCCAGACGTCTACTCCAAACCTCTTGAACCAGAACCTGCATTTTAACAAATCCCCAGATGACTCTTGTTACAATACTTTGAGAGACACTGTGTGAGGAGTATCCCCAGAGTACATTGCAGGGAGGGAGGAGGTTTAGTGGTGCTGAATGGAGGAAGTTTGTAGCTACTAGGCCTATATAAAAATATAGTGTGTTTATGTGTGTTTTATCCACATATAAAGTGTCATTGCAACCCACTGTGGATTTGTGCACTTATACTACTGTCTTAGTGACACTTTGCAGCTCCAATGGATTGATGGCTTTCTCTGGGCTCGGAAATATTCCCAAGTCAGGCTACTGTTTCCCACCAGATCTGTCCAGATCTTGATCTTGATAAGAAACTAGCCACCAAAAGCTTCTCAAAGGCTTCCATACCTGTGGATTGTTGTCTGTATGTAGGTGAAGTCAGGTGAAATTTTAAGTCAGATAAGGGTCGAGCCTGTGATTGGGCAGTGGAAAAAGAAGGTGGAGCTGAAAGTTTTTAGAGAGGGGACACAGAGACAGAGAGACAGAGAGACAGACAGAGAAGGAACGGAGAGAAGATGGAGGAAGAAGATGAACCAGAACCATGTGGTCCTAGGAGCCATAAGTAATTGGGGATTTCTTAGATAGACGATTAAATAATGTAGGACATGTCTGTCCAGTCTAGGTGTGCAGCTTGTATCTGTATCAATTGAGTTTTGAGTTCTTTGTATGGGCGTTTTGGGGGTTGAAGATTTACTGTTATAAATCTGGCTGATAAATTACAAGCCTCTGGGGCTAGGGGTTTAGAGCCAGTGGTAGCCAGTCTCGGCAGGCTAGTAGCAGGGAACAGATGGCTTAGGAGTGTGGAGCAGTTGGGGCACAGGCTAACCATCGGAAACCAGACAGACGGCCGCTTCCGGAACCATGGGGGCGGGCAAAACCGCTGTTGCCGGCATGTAGCTGGCATTAGCGTGAATTGTTTTTTTAATAATTACACGCTACACATACCCATGCGATTAGTAAATCAAATAGCAAATTTGTGGATATCCTGGAATGAGTGGGTACCAGTGAAGATGATGGGGATGCTGGAGCCAGAACAAGAGCAGTAGAAATGCTCTACAAACCTCTTCTGCTTTGAGTTGAGAAATGGTTGGATCTTAAATAACAATAGGTGGGGATTCCCTTACTCCAACACTATTTTTGCTTTACTTATTTTTCTTTAATTCTATTTATGCTTCTCTGGGCCCTGGAGTTCCAATCTGAAAAATGAAAGTGATAACTTTTACAAAAATGTTGACATTCCATCTCATCATTACTTTACCCCGAGTGTGGTTGACAAGATGCAAGTGTGACATGACCAGTGTGATCTTAATGCATGAAGTTAAAACTACGATTTCTGTATTTATAGAGATTCCTCTAAACTCTGCTTTCTCACGCTTTTCAGAAAGTTTCAAACTTTATGATTGATTTCCCAGAGATGGTTTTTATAGAACTGTAATGATACATGTTAATGACAGAGAACTATGTGTTCACATTGTAGACACTGCAATGAACTCTCACTTCTCACGGGCCCCATTTTTCATTGTCCTCCTACCTGGAACCATTATTTCCAAAATAACTATTTCAATGAGCATGATGGGTATGCCTTTATCCATTTTATTTTTACTTTTTTCTTTTGAGAAATAGTCAGGAAGATGGATATCTGGTGATTGTGCCATGTACAGGATTTACCTTAATGAGAGTTCCTGACACTTGTCATGGTACGGAAAGAGAAGAGGCTACTTGAACCATGTAACCAGGAGACCTGGAGCAGTAAATTCCTTTATGGACAGAAAGGGTGATCTCTTTTGTGGGTGACTTTTACAACTTCTAAGCTATGTGACTGATTTGAAAGGGTGGCATGTCACATGACAGCTAGACATTATTAGCTAGACATAATTGAGGATGCCAGGGGGGAAAGTCTATATGGGAAAAATGGCTCACTATACCCTTGTGAAATGAGCCCAACACAGAGAAGGAGAGCAAAGTGTCTTGGCAGAGTGCTGTATCCTAAGAGAAAATCAGAGGCACATTAGGTGCTGCCTCTTTTTGTAGCAAGTAGTAGATAGAGGGGAACTTGGGCAGCATTAGAGAGGGAAGAATATTCTCCTCATATCACTGTTGAATTGCCAACTCTTTATATATCACACTGGAAGAGTGGTGGGCTGAAGCATTCAGCATGGGGGCGGGGGAGGGGGAGACCTGGATAATATTCTGGAACTGTGAGGATACAGGATTGTACTTCTCTCCTAATTTTCTTTAACAACACAGAGCTAGGTGGAAAGCCCAGCTATCCACCAGCTAGGGTATATTATCCAATGGAATGTCAAACTGGAGCCTTTGCTGTGAGGCCTAGACCCAGCCAGAGGGTCAGAGAAGCACTGGGACAAGGGATGAGACATGGAAGACCTCAGATCCTATCTGACCCTTTATTTCAAGCTCTAGCTTTGACTTTTGATAACCTGGCTCCAATCAGAGCATCTACCTAATAACTGGTTTATTATAAATAGTAGTGTTGAGTCCATAGTTTGGGAATGGCACCTGTCATGAAGGTAGTCATCTTGAGGCTGAAGCTGTAGCATCATTATCCTGGCTCTTCCCTCTTGTGTATGGAGGGATCAGAGGGGTTGATGTATAAAGAAAATGGTTTCTAATCTTAAAAAATAAAAGCTCTTTTCCATGTCAGGGAATAATGACCACATGTAGTGTTCAAGTCCAGCCACAGAGTGGCAGAAGAAGCCTGGGCTACAATATGCTTCTGCGCTCCAGGAGCCAAGAGGCTGCGTGCTCCTTTGGACTAATACTGTGGAGGAGGTCCAGGGCACTGCAGAGACATGTAGAGGATACAGTGGTCCCACAGTTTACATAGCTGGACAGTTTTATTCTTTATTCTGAAGTTTCCATTGATTCCCTAGAAGATGGGAGAATAATTTCTCACGGGATGAACAATAATCGAAAGAAAATAATAATTTTTAGACTTGAGAGATAACTTAGTGGTTAAGAAAGCATATACTTGTTATGAAAATCTCACAATATACACTTTAAATAAATGCATTTCGTATGTTGATTGTCCCCCAGGAAAGCTCAAAAGAGACGTATCCAGGAGCTGGATTTGAGGTCTTTTGATTACTCCTGTACACTCCATAGTATTTCTAAATACTTCAGCTCCTATACTGGGCTCTAGGTCTCTCAACACTCTTCAGGATCTGAGCTTCTGCTTCCCACTCACCCAATGGTGGCTCTAGAATGTCTCCAGGAGAGGGGATGGCCTCTCCATGATTTTCACATGGAATCCCAAGAACTTTCTAGAAATGCTGATTCTCTGATTCATTCTCCATTTGCTGACTCAGGCCCTTGGGATGGGTCCTGATAGAACCTTAGAATTATAGAACTATTTTGAACAGTCCATTCCATGGTTCTGCCACCTGGCACACTTCCGCCAGCCACCTCCTGGGCACCACCTCTTGGGTTTCCTCTCACCCTCTTCCATGTCTTACCATTTAGTTCCATCTTAAGTAAATCGCCCCCAGTGCCCCATGCAGAGCACTTTCTCTTCTTTATTGTGTTGATATCTGCGGACCCCCTTGCCTTTAGCATCTTACCTTCTGTTTTTTTTTCAACTTACATTTTGCCTAAATGCAGAGCAGCTCCTACTCCCCTAAGGGAAATAGCCGTGTTTGCTCCTAGACACATGTGTGAAGCTCATAAAAACGTCAGATTAGAACTTTCTGAGTGTGCCTATGACTTCGGGGAGGGCAAGGAAGACATGATTTGACTATCTCCTCATTTGTTTTCTTTTACCCTCTTGGTATGAAAAAAAAATTAGGGCAGTGTCTTAGGTTCCAGCAAAAGATAGATTTAGATAATTTGCAAACGCCTTCATTTTTTACATGCATAAAGAAATATTGAATAAGATATTTAGAAGTACTTTATAATAAACAGGAAGCACTTCATGGGTTCTAGCAATGGAGGAACAATTTAATATCAGTATAGCTCATTGATTTCATATTGTTTCCATAGCCCCGGCATCATGTTTTACTGCCCATGTAATGAAAGAATTTGGGTTATGCAGTATGGTGAACTATCCGAAACCTCCTAAATTGGACTTTTAAAACACAGATTTTGTTTTCCAAAAGTGTTTGCATCTTTCTCATCCCACACTGAGATGTAAGGCTACATCTTCTCCCTTTGGATTGGGTGGCCTATAAGTGTTGCATCAGTAGAGACTATATGCGGAACTAGGAATTTTACCTCTCTGTTTATTTTTTGGGTCTCAGTAGAGCAGTCGCAGCCCAGTGGGGACCTTGGATTTTTACATTCATTTTGCAGTAATGAGGCAGTACCCCATATTTCTCTGCTTGTGTGTCAGAGTAAGGCCAATGAAATCCACGCCAAGACACATTTACTCAAACTTTTAAAAATTCAGGAGAAATTTTGAAAGCAGCCAAATCAAACAGACAACTGACTGGTAGAAGGAAAGCAAACTGAATTATGACAGATTCCTCATCAGGAGCCACAGAAACACAGTATCTTTAAGTGTTAACAGGAAAGAACTTCAAATGTAGAAACCTACAGCCAATAGGATGGTCCCCAGAACAAAGGAACAATCTACATGTTACAAGTTGAAGAAAAAAGAATCAGGCTGAAGAAAGGCTAAAGGAAGTTCATAAGCAAAAGAAAA